GGGGGGGAGGCCGCACACAACTGCACTCCAAGCTGCAAACTTGCGGCTTGGAGTGCAGGTGCACGCGACCACCCCTCTTCCTCCCTGCCTCCCTCCTGCAAGATTTAAAGAGCCAGTTGGAGGTCCCTTTAAATCTTGCAGTAGCAGTGGCCAGATGGTTGCTCTAGGGGGCGGGCCCCCCCAGCAGGAAGGAGCCCCCCAAATTGGGGAAACCCTTGCTAGGACCGGGAATCTGGCAACTCTACTTCTCGGTTCTGGCACTAAAACTCTGGAATTCCCTCCCTAGGGGGATTTGTTTGTCCCCTTCTGTTGTTGTCTTCTACCAGCAGATGAAGGCTTCTCTGTTTCATCTGGCATTCCCTCAGTGATCCCTCCTTCCTAACCAATGTTTTAATTATTGTTTTTATGGGTATGATTTTAGTGCTGTTTTTAATTGTTTTAATAATGTGTGTTTTTGTTGGGGTTAATGGTTATATTAGTTTATGATTTTATTATGTATGTTTCAATTTGTTAGCCGCTTAGGTGGCCCTTGTGAGGACAGAAAGGTGGGATATAAATTTTGTAAACAAACAAACATATAAGAAATTGGCTCAGAGTTACCCAAGCTGTTCTTTCTCCTAGATTAGGAAGAATTTCCACTGCTTGAAACCTGTGCTTTCTCAGTGGTGGCCCCAACGTTTATGAAATACCTTTGATAATGGAGGTAGGATTGTCCCCTTTGTTGCTTTTTTGTGCAAGAGGTGCATAGTTGTTTAGTTTTTGGGCACTTCGAGAATATTTAATTACAGTATCAGATGCATTATATATTTTATTATATGAGTTGAAACTTTTGGCTATTAAGTGGATTGTTTATAGTATTGTGGTTCATATGTTGTAGATTTTTGCAGATGCTGCTTAAGACCTCTGTTGTTAGCTGCCTTAAGCCTTTTTGGGGGAAGGAGGGGCGTAGATAGCTTAAGTAAATAAACTGTACTGTATCTCATTGGAAAGTGCCAAGAGAAGGTTTCCTGCCCCCTGTGTTATTCAAGCTTGCTGTCCGATGGATGGTAGATTCAAGCGGGGTATCCGTGTGAGTCCAGTGGCACCTTTAAGACCACTGTATCTGAGAAAGTGTGCTTGCACATGAAAGCTTATACCACAAATAAAACTTTGTTAGTCTTCAGGGTGCCAATGGACTCAAACTTTGTTCTGTCAGATGGATGGACATTGAAT